GGTTGAGCTATAGGCGCCGAGCCAATATGCTGTTTGGTTATTCATCAGTTGATATAAGCATTGGAGTAGTTTCTACTTTTTGGCTGCTGTGAACATGTGTGAACATGTTGATTTTTTTTTTTCTGGGACTAGATGCACATGTTGCCATACCAGCTAATTTTTTTAGTAGAGATAGGGTCTTTCTCAGGTAGTTCTCAAACTCCTGAGCTCAAGCAACTCACCTCAGCCTCTCAGAATGCTGTAGTATCACAGGCATGTGCTACCTCACTCAGCCAAGTTTGGGTTTTTTTGTTGCTTGCGTTTTCCTTGACAAACCTAAAAGTATTGCCAAGTCCAAAGTCAATGAAAATTTATCCCTTTGTTGAATTTTCAGTTTTTATAGATTAACTTTTAATATTTAGTTGTTGGCCATATTAAGTGAATTTATGAGATCAAGGGGGCCAAAATATATTTTATGTATGTGGATAAGCAGTTACTCTAGTATGATTTGTTCAAAAATCTAGTCTTTCCTCTTTTGGAGTGGTTGGTCTTGGCACCCTTTTAAAGTAGTTTAGTATATAAGTGCCTGTGTATATGAGTTTATTTCTAGACTGTTTTCTATTATTTCTGTCATAACAGTACAACACTTGGTTCTGTTGCTTTGTAGTTTTTGCAGGTTATTGAAAATCAAGTGTGAGTCTTCCAAATTTGTTCCCTTTCAAGATTTTCTTTGGCCTGTTTGGATTCCTTATTTTATATGAATTCTCTGATCTGTTTCTACAAAGAAGCTAGCCTCAGATTATTTTAAGGATTGTATTAAGTCTGTATATTAAGTTTCGAGGAGTTATGCCATCCTAAAATTTGTGAACTTGGGATGTATTTCTTTTTTTTTTTTTTTACTTGGGATGTATTTCTATTTAGGTTTTTAATTTATTTAGCCCAAGTCTTTTTAACGACTTGAAACTTACGATTTTTATTGTTAAGTGTGCAATTGAGTAGTGTTAACTATATTGATGTTGTGCAATAGATCTTAAGCCCTTAGAAAGCAAACTGTATACCCATTGGACAACTCCACAGCTCCTGGGAACCACAGTTACGCTTTCTGCTTCTTTGAATTTGAGTACTTGGCAACTCTTATAAGTAGGATCATAATGGTATTTGTCCTTTTGTGACTGGTCATCCATGTTGGCAGTTTGTGGCAAGGTTTTTGTTTTAAAGACTGATGTTCCATTGAATGTATGATATATATACACTTTTTATTAGCATTTGAGTTGCTTTCACCTCCTGGTTGTTAAGAACAATTCTGTAATAAACATAATAAGTGTACCAGTAATTTCTTTAAGAGCTGTAACTTTTGTCCAAACCTCAGATTTTGAAAGTTCCTAATGTCTTGATTTTATTTGTAGTGATGATGATGATGATGATTTTGATGATGAGGAAACTGAAGAAAAAGCTCCAGTGAAGAAAGTAAGTTGTTACAGTGCTGTAAGAGTCAAATACAGCCAATTATAGAAAGTTTTTGAAATAATACAAAGTTTGTGAAAGCAGGGTTGGAAGATAATCTCATACTGAAAATTGGTCCTGAGTATAACTCTACTGTAAACTTTACTACTTGCTATTCATGAAGAATGATCTATTTTCTTCATCCATTTGTCCTTCACTCATGAGGCAGCCCTTTAGTTAAAGGACTGCTTTTCTTACATTCTTTGAGGTAGATTTACTTGTATTGATATGCCTGCTACATTGGGCACTGATGATCAGTTTCTAATTGCAGTCTGTGCGAGACACTCCAGCCAAAAATGCACAAAAATCAAACCAGAATGGAAAGGATTCAAAACCATCAACACCGAGATCAAAAGTAAGTGACAACATTTGCACAAAGGGATGCTTCCTTGATGTAGTTGGTAGGGGGTGGGGTAGAGGTTCTACTGTGGAAGAATCTGAAATTTGATAGGCCTTTGGGAAACGAATGTAGTTGGTGTCTTAACATGGTGAAATCTGCATGTTGATAAACTTTGTTGTAGGTACACACGTGCAGACATACCTACTAGATATAAGGCTTCAGGTGTTCAGTGGGGGGAAGGCAGTAGCTTTTTATTGTGATGTTTAGCAGTTTTCTGTGAGGAATCTTGGTTGTTGTAAGGTACATACACATCAGCATAGAGCAGAGGATCTAAACCCTGGTTTTACATAATTAGATTCAAGTAGAAATTTTAGAATAAGCTAAAAATTGTTCTTACATATTCTGAATTCAATTTTTTCAGGGTCAAGAATCCTTCAAAAAACAGGAAAAAACTCCTAAAACACCAAAAGGACCTAGTTCAGTAGAAGACATTAAGGCAAAAATGCAAGCAAGTATAGAAAAAGTGAGTAAAATTATCAAACTAGTTTGGATCTGTCCTTAAAAATTGCTTAATTCTGGGGTTCTGGATAAACTAGAGTGTTCATCATTTTTATATTTTTAACCTACCTAGTCCTGTGCTATAAGTTTTTTATACAAAAATGTATTCTAAAAATGCAAGCTACTCATAATTTTTACTTTGATTTCTTTTGCATATGTGACGTTAATATGCTTTACTCTCATTAAAAAATAAATATAAGTACATTGGTTGCAAATAAATTCTAACCTCAAATGTAAAATGAGATAAATGAGAAAAGAACACTTTTGCCTATTATAGTTATATGCTATAGAACCAGCAGAGGGCGTATGAAGCTTCAGTGAAAATGCAAACAGTTGGAAAATTGGTGATGGCATTGAAGTTAAATGATTGGTCATGATTGACGATAAGAGTCAAACATTCTCCAGCAAACTGAGTTATTTTTATTAACATTTTACACGTATGTGTCACCAGTCAGTACCATATACGTGTAGTAATATCTAGAATTTGTGAGTGACTAATGCTTTTATCTAGTGTTCTTTTGTCTTAGACAGTGGAAACATGGGAAGAGGATTAGCACTCTTGTTTTGCCTGCATTCTAGAGGACTACCTTTAGTTAACTCTAGACTTGAGTTTTAGAGTATGGAATAATTGGTTTAAATGTCTTTGGAACACATTTTAAAGAAGTTTTAATTCTATGGATAACAGTTTTAGATCCCAGTTACTAAGAGTGAATGTGAGATGGTGAGGAAAAATTGCCAACTCATTTCCCTGTGTTTTTCCTGAGCTCTAGGGTTTTTATGGCTTCAGTAGACTTCTTGCCTTGGTAAAATGACATTTTAGGAGGCAGAATGTATTTGTTTTGTTTTAGTCACACTATGCCCATTGGCCTTCCTAGTATCACTGATTTATTTTTATCCCTTGCATACAGTGCTAAAATGACATCTTTTAGATGCCCCTCCCCCCCGTTTTAATATGGTCCTATCTCCTTGGTCTAATTGCAGGCACATTGAACATTCCTGGGCACTACTGGTAAATTAAGCTCAAAGATGGGGAGAGAGGAAAAGGAGAGACAAATGTAGTCCATACTGAGTATCATCAACAATCCTGACTGAAGTCTTCTATTTTAATCTCAATCCCCCTTTCCTGATTTGCTACCCATGCCCCCTTCCAGACTGGAAACAATTTCACTTTTGATTTCCCAAAGCACTTTCTTTTTGACTGTGAACGAACGATCTTTGCCTATGCTTTCCATTACTTGTGCACTTGCCTCACCTCTTTGACAATGTTTTAAATTGCCTTTGTATCTCCTTAGCTGCTCAATAAATATTTGAATGACTCAAATAAGAAAGTATGTGACAATAATTTTGAAATGGAAATGTTTATAGTGAGGTTTTTCTTAAAGTGATGGAGGCAGTTAGTATCTTAATATTCCATACCTGATTCTGTGGTCCCTTTGGCATTTGGGACCCTTTTTGATCTTTTAAAAATGCATAAAAGATAACCTTCAGGTTATAAGAAAAACAAAAGGTTAATCAAAATAGGAAACAATTGTAATGTTTTGAAAATTTAGTTGACAAAATGATAAATATTTGTTAAAACTGTTGTGGTCTCTTGCCTACATTTAAATTTGAAGGAAATTCTAAATTTTGGTGAGAGGTTAGTAAAGTGTAATTCCTATAATTTTTTTTACTGTTCCGCTTTCTATATCTAAGTCAGTTTTTTGTTGGATGTAGGTTTTTGGTCAATAACTGGATTTTTTTTGTTGTTGGTTTTTGTATGAGCAGTTTTGGTTACTTGTGATAAGGTTCTCTAAAGGGGTATATGTGGGGTTTGGATTTCGTTCTGGGTTAGTAGACTTCTTAGATAATATGGATAGGCAGCCAGGGAGTTTGCCATATTTGTGTGTCTTTGGAATCTCAACTGTGGCTTGTGTTTTGTATTCCTAGAAAGGCTGTCAGGGAAGATTTGAACTTTCCATAAACCTTGCCTACTAGGGTTTTTGGATCTTTTAAAAATATTGATAATGAAATGAATGAGTTTAAGGGACAAGAAATTAACTAATTCAGTAATAAAAGCAATGCACATCTTTGAGAAATTTCCTAGTATTATCTTTCTCAAGCAGTGTATTTCTATACTTAACTAAATAATGCTTTTGTCTCAATAGGGTGGGTCTCTTCCCAAAGTGGAAGCCAAGTTCATCAATTATGTGAAGAATTGCTTCAGGATGACTGACCAGGAGGTAACTGAATTTTCTGAGGATGTGACCAAATCCAAATATTTTTTTATTTATTAATATTGTCCTTTCACTTTTAAAAAAATTGTTGGCTCCTTTTAAAAGGTTCCTAATCACAGACAATAACTTCAGATTAAATACATGGAAACTCTTTGGGAATTTTGTTGACAGGCTGAGAAGATAGCTTTTTAGTACATTTTTTTTCTCATATTTCATATAGTTGGCAAATTATCTCTTGGTTGTTGAAATTTATACTTTTGGTACTATGTTGGCTAAAGAAATACACTGTGGTTTTCCTTTTTGCTCCATTTGCCTGCTTGTGGGGCAGTCTGGTTTTTGCTTTCTTGGGAGTTGATAAAAGGTAATTTTATTTTCTCAAAAGATCTTAGGGAAAGCATTTTGCTTAAACAAACACAAAAAAAATCTGGGAAAGAAGCCAAATTGTGGTAACTAGATATTATTAGCTTGAATTAAATTTTTGTAATTTTTGGAAATGAAAGTATTTTATCAGTAGAGGAAAATTTATGTTATTCATAGTATACTCAGGTTATATATAAAGGAAAATATAAAAACAGTTAAATAGGATAGTTACGTAACATATCATGTATACATAAGATAGAACCTGTTTTGTGTAAGTCCTATGTTCAGCTTTTTTCAATAAATTAGTGAAATTTGGTAATTAGCTGTTTTTCCTTGTGCCATAGTATTTAGACTTAGATTACTTAAATTGTATCACTCCTTGAAATTTTTAGTTTCTGGGTTTGCAGCTCTTAAAGTGGTTTTAACCCTGATGGTTAAGTGATTTAAGCGTTGAGTGAAATGTGCACTGATGGGCTATGAGATGATCAAATTAAGTCTTTTTTTATTCCGTTGGATCTTTTTGTGTGTGTGTACATTTGACCCCTAAAATGTAAGTGCTGGTTTTCTGAGTAGATATGAAAGTTCTTTTGGAACCACATTAGGCAAATTGTTTAATGTTAGAAGTGGTAGAGAGTAAGACATAAACCAGCATGCACCTATTAGCTATGCTTAAAAGATAACAGTTTCTCAAACTACAGAGTTTTTTTTAAAGAAAATTTAAGATGAAAATAAGAGTAATGACAACTGAAGTTACACTGGCCTTTCACTTCAGTCTTGCTACTCAGTATTTTCTAACTCAAACTAGAAGTATACTTTAACTGTCAAGATGACGTTTCTACAAATATAGTAAATGTTAATATCTAGATTTATTATAAATTACCAAAACTCAATGTCATTTTTATGGCATAGAGGTACAGGTGATAACAGTGTATAAAACTACTGTTTGCTTATGCAGTGTTAATCTCACAGAAAAACTTGTTTATGAGGCTTTGGTAAGTAAAGTCCTTTCTAGATGAGAAATAATAGCAAATTTCTACAGAAACTCTTGAATTAAGAGTCAATGCAAATAATTAAAAGTTTTTAAAAATACAAATTTGGCTTTCAGTATTTCTCTTTTATCTGAGATTTGTTGGGTGTTTTGAAACAATAGCAGTCAAATCCTGAATCATTTCTGAAACGGCCACAAAAGTTGTTAGTGGCATTTAAAATACAGTGGAATGGCTAGGCGCCTATATAGCTCAAGTGGCTAAGGCACCAACCAACCACATATACCAGAGCTGGCGGGTTTGAATCCAGCCCAGGCCTGCCAAACAATAATGACAACTACAACCGAAAAAAATACCCAGGTGTTGTGGTAGTTGCCTTGTAATACTAGCTACTTGGGAGGCTGAGGCAAGAGAATGAAGGAGCCCAGGAGTTGGAGGTTGCTATGAGCTATGATGCCAACGGCATTCTACCCAGGGTGATAGCTTGAGGTTCTGTCTCCAGAAAAAAACAATTCAATGGAACCTCTGTAAGTTGTCCTACCCAAGGGTCTATAACAAAGCAGTAAATGTACAGAGGTGGTCAGCATAAGGAACTAGGTCTACTGTACTGGTGGGTATATGTGGTGCATGTCTTGTGTGAAAATTAGGTCAGCTTGAGGTGAACAACTGTGGAGGTTAATCTACTTAAGGACAGTTTATTGTTTCTAGTTTTTTGTGGCTTTAGCAATACAATTATGCAAATTTAAAAAGCAAACAGTACTCCATTTAAGACCTAACAGCATCATGGCTGTTCTTAAATGGGATAACATTATTTGTGAATAGGAAAAGCAACTCTTAATTTGAGACTTAGATAACAATTAATGTCATACTTAACCATAATTATCCCGTGAAATGGATTTCATCCCCTTTTTGATGTAAGGCATGGTACCACCATTGGAACAAATAGACTCCTGTGTTTTGTTGGGAACAAAACAGAAATTGACGGTGATGTTCTTGTAAAGATATTTTAAAAAGTCATTAAGATGGGCTCGGTGCCTGTGGCTCAAGTGGCTAAGGCGCCAGCCACATATACCTAAGGTGGCATGTTCGAATCCAGCCCGGGCCCGCCAAACAACAATGATGACTGCAACCAAAAAAAATAGCCAGGCTTTGTGGCGGACCTCTGTGGTCCCAGCTACTTGGGAGGCGGAGGCACGGGACTCACTTGAGCCCAGGAGTTGGAGATTGCTGTGAGTGATGCCACGGCACTCTACCCAGGGGGATAGCTTGAGGCTCCGTCACACACAAAAAAAAAAGTCATTAAGATGAAAGATGGACTGAATAATGGGAAAGTGTGTGAAATGTGAAAAACAAAGATTGCATCGTGCTTATAATTAGATAGGAAAAGCATTTGCTAAATCTGACCAGCCCTAAGGCTCATCTCAGGGCAGCTTAACACTGGCCAAATGGATTTCTAGTCTTCCTTGATTTCCTTTATTAAAGATGCTTGAACTGTTAATAGTGTAAGATTGTGATTTTTAGGTTTAAAGTATTTGAAATTATGTTTGAGAGCAAATTTCTTTGCTATCCATTAATTATCTGGAGTATGAACCTTTTGGTTAAATGTATTGTACAAAGAGACTTGGTTTAATTTATTGGTGTCTATGAAGTATTGTGGTTCTTTAACCACATTTTTTTTTTTTTCCAGGCTATTCAAGATCTCTGGCAGTGGAGGAAGTCTCTTTAAGGAAATAGTTTCAACAGTTTGTTAAAATTTTCCGTCTTATTTCATTTCTGTAACAGTTGATATCTGGCTGTCCTTTTTATAATGCAGAGTGAGAACTTTCCCTACCGTGTTTGATAAATGTTGTCCAGGTTCCATTGCCAAGAATGTGTTGTCCAAAATGCCTGTTTAGTTTTTAAAGATGGAACTCCACCCTTCACTTGGTTTTAAGTATGTATGGAATGTTATGATAGGGCATAGTAGTAGTGGTGGTCAGACATGGAAATGGTGGGGAGACAAAAATATACATGTGAAATAAACTCAGTATTTTAATAAAGTAGCACTGTTTTTCTTTTATGCACTTATTTAACTTTGTACTTTGTCAGAGGAGTAAATGTATAATTAAAAGTGCAGAATAGTATCCTAAAACCCTTTGAAAAGGTACCTGCTCTACCCATCCAGATAGCTCTCCCCAGAGTTAACCAACTAATTTTTCATAGTAAGGATTTAGTGCTCATGTTCCCACCGCCTTTTAACAATTACAAGTATGCAATCATGTTTCCAAGTGCTCCATCAGACCACCTATTCTGGCTTTGCTCCTCAAAATTTGATGTGTTAAAACAGCCTGGAATAGGCTTTCTCAAGTGTATTCTATATTAATTTTTTTCCTTTTTTTTTTAAATTGAATAATAGCTGTGTACATTAATACTTTCATGTATATTAAATCCAAAATAGAAATAATGATGGTTTTCTCAATTCATATAATAACAGTACCTCTTAGATATGTGGGAGAAAAGTGGATTTATGTGGTAGTTACATGAGGCAGTTCAGTGGCTAATTCTTGAAACATACCTCTTCTGCCTTAAGCTGATTGTATGATCCAAGTTTGATACACTATAGTGATTCTTATTTTGCTATGATACATAGTTTTAATAGTAGATAGGGGGAGCATTTTCAGAGTTTTTAAATACCTGAAAATGTGACAACTAAGTGCGTTTTTTTTTCTTGTCTAAATCTGCTATTTTCATATATTTTTTTTTTTTTTTGACTGTGACCCGCTTTTCTGAAATTTTATCATGTGTTTTGGTGTGTACTCTGGGCCATTTTCTTGGGAGGTTTCAGTCCTCATATCTTTCCTGAGATTCTTAGGTTTATTATTTGATTCTCTTGGATAATTTTCCTCATTCCTTTTTGTTGGAACTTCAGGAAAGAGACTTTTTTGTCTTTAAAAAGTTTTGGTGTTGATTCTACTTTTAACATCCCTACTACTTCTTTGAGGATGTATCTAAGATCTGAAAAATGTTTTGAAGTGGTCTGGTCTTTATCATCTTGTTTCTCTTTTTTTTCTCCCTGTCCCCCCTTTATTAGCCTTATTGATTTAGGAGAATGACATTTGTTGACAGGGTTCATAGTTATGGGTATTTTGAATGGGAGTCTGCAGATGTTATCCCATTTCATCTTTGGGATAGTTATCTAGAGGAGTTAACCTCATTTTGGTGTGTAGGAGGAAAGGCTAGGGTACACTACTGTCTTATCTAATCCCAGTTTCCAGGTGGTGTTTACTTCAGATTGTGGTTTCCTTCATTGATTCAGTTTTCTTTACCCAGGAGATCTAAGTTTACTACTCTTATACCTGTGGAGACTTTAATGAGATGATGACTGTTCAATGTACTTTGCTTCACTGGAAAGTGCCTCCATTTTAAAGAATGTTTATGGGTGTCCAACCATTTTCCTTTGCCACACATTGGAAGGAATTGTCCTAGGCCACATGTTAAATACACTCATAAAGCTGATGAACAAATGATTGTGCAGAATATTGTGATATCCTACACCACAGGTGAACAAGTCACTATACTAAGCAGTGTTTTTCAACACCTTTTTTTTTTTTTTTTTTTTCTCTCACAGCATACTTGAACCTATAGTTGAACTAATGTACCACATTTAAATTATGTTGATGGGGAAAAAAAAGTAAAAGTAATAAATGTACTTTGTGTGCTTTGTACTTATTTTGGAAATTAACATTAATTTTCATGGCACACATTACTAAGATCCTCTC